TATCTGAGTCTGAAGACTCTTGTATTTGGTCTTCGGGACGAACAGGAGCTTTGCCTTCTCTGTGTCTGTTACTCTCTTCAGACTGTAACAGACAGGGGGGAAGAAGAATGTGAGTAAAAAAAAAAAAAAAAAAAAAAAAAAAAAAAAAAAAAAAGAAAAGAAAAAAGAAAAAGTTGTCTGAAAGCTCACCGAGGTCTTCAGCAAAGCCTCGTCTTCTTCAGCTGCTCTAGCTGCAGCTTCGGCTTCAGCAGCTCTGGAGGACCCTTCTCCTCCTTCGCAAGCTTCGAGTACCCGTGCAACCTCTTCGGCTGTGCGGGCAGCTTCAGCTTCTTCGTTCAGCAGCTGAAACCAAGGGTCTCTCTTCTTCCACCAAGGCTTCTGCCTCTGATACAGAGCAACAGCCTCAATTTGGAAGTGGGAAGAGTCTAGATGAACTTCCCTATGCCTCGGCTCAGTGATGGACGGGGCCCGTTCAGTTACAACTCGCTCTCGGTTGACACCAAGACGAGCGTAGTTAATGCCAACGTTGGTCTCGTCTCGCTTAGAAAAAAGGAAAGGGGAAAGTTTAGCTCAGATAGATCGGCACAGCATTAAAAAGCAAAGCGAGAGAAGAAAAAGAGGTAGTTAAAAAGCCTCGGCCCCAGCCGAAGAAGCTTACCATCCTTAAACTTTCGGCTGAGGCCAACAGCTGCTAGCATGTTCTCTTGGAAAACGTAATGCGTATCGGGGATATGCTGCATTCGACCACTCCCCCCCCGGTTCGGCAGCTTGCCGAAGATATGTTGCTGATCCAGGTTCGGATCCGCCCCGTTATCTGCGGGGGGACCTAGACTTCCCATTTCGGGATCAGGCTCAGCTAGGTACCGGGGAGCGCTGAAGACGCAAGGGTGGCCCGGATCTGTGGGTGCCCTAACCCAAATCCATTGACCTCTCCAGTCCTTGTCTGAAGAGTCGTTTGGCCACATGGTCAAGTATTGGGGCCGGGACTCAATCTGGTACCACCCAGAACCATGGCTTCCGTGCCCACTTTGAATATTTGGCACTAGCCGATGGAGCTTTTTGAAGCAGTGCAGGTTCGGCACGTACTTGAAGAACTTGCAGACCCATAGGTATGTCATCACCCTTCGAATGCTGGTGGGGGTTAGCTGACATAGAGAGATGTTGTAATGGATCAGCAAGTCTCGGACGAATACGTCCAAAGGGAACCTCAGCCCATACTGAAGCTGTCTTGTGTACACCCCCACATACCCCGGGGGTGGACGATGGATTCTATCGGATGCCGAGGGCATTCGGCACCAATACCCATCAGCTTCAAAAATGCCGTAATGCAACTCAATTTGCTCGGCAAATCGATATTGATCGGCGTTCTCTACCCACCATGAGTAGGGGCGGTTCTTTATCATGGCCGAAGCGACTTCGGCATTCTCCCATTCTGAAAACCCAGGGAGGATATCCCAAAGGACAGCGGGAACTTCATCATCCCGTCCAGAAGCGCTCGGCTCACCCGTTCTTTGAGGAGGAGCCGAGGAAAGGGGAGTCGCCCTAATCCCTTCAGCAGGGTCAGACTCCGGCCTTTGACCATTCCAGGTCCCAATCCTGTTCCTAGGATCGGGAAACGGCCTTGCTCTTCTTGGAGCACGGGCTCTACCTCTAACTCCTCTTGCCATTGATTATTTCGAAGAGAAAAGTCGAAAGAAAAGGGGAAGGAGTTCGAATTCGAAGAAAAATAAACTGAAATCAAAGGAATTTACCTTAATCTGAAGCGAAAGTTGCCGATTTACGAGTTCGTAGTGGCAAGTCTCAGTTTCTAAGCTTAATGCTCGGGGAATTTGCGAAGTTTTGATGCGGGTTCTTGGTTTCTCTCTTGAGAATTCTGGGTTTGTGTTGGTGAATAAGTGAAGAGAATGACGCGCCTTTGTTTATATCTCCAGGTACAGGATACGAGGAGTCTGTGTTTTAATTTCTCTTAAATACCCACTAAGTAACCATTAAACTCATGATCTTGCGATTAAACTGCCCATTATCCGTCCAACTTCCGCAATCATTAACCGTTGTTATCTCATTAATTACGGTTTAAATTCAAATTTTTGGATCAATTAAATCATTTACTTCCCTCCTTTTCTGAATTAAATCAAACCCGACCCGTCATCCTTCCAAATCGGGTCTGGGGGGCAAGTTGTTTGGGTCCAATTTAGTCAAAATTGGGCCTAAGTACTAAATGATCCAATTAAAAGCCCAAGGTCAAGGTTCAACTCTCCAATTGTGCAAAAGTCAAAGGTCAGCCCACAAAGCAAGCCAATTGGGCTAAAGCCCAACCTCTCCATGTATGATGAGGTATAAAAGCCATCATATTCACATTCATATTGAGATTCATATACACATTGAGATATTCAGATATATTCCACAAAAGCCTCAAGCTACAAACTCTCTTGCATAGTGTCTTCTTTCTACACATTGTACTGACTTTAGCATCGGAGGGGCCTTCCTCGGCAACACCCCCGAGGCTAGTTTACGTGTGTTTACTGTGCAGGAAACCTTCGGCCCAACATAACTTGGACCGAATCCAGCCTTCTCCATTTCAGCGGACCTTCGGCAAGGTCCCATTGTTTTCACCCGAAACACTAGCTAAAACAATTAAATGGAAAAAAAAAACTCTCAATTTGTTGCCTTAGAATATTAGAAAATATTTATTGAAAGAGTATGAACATTGGGAAAGTTTCGACCAAATTAAATCTTAAATTGTTGAACGAATAAAATAAGATGAAACCAAAATGATGATTATATAACAGATAATATGCCCAAATTTGATATTTGAAGAATTATATCAGTGTTAAAAAAATCATCTTCAATTGATTTTATTAGGGATTTCTTTTTGATGTTTTGAGTCAAAAATTTGAAAGAAAAAGAATGGAATCTGTAGGATTGGAAAGACCAAAGAAAGAAAGTAAGAAACAACAGAAAAGATAAAAATAATAATAAAAAAAAAACATTTATGAGGAAACTGAAAATTAGGAGAGAAATTCAAAGGAAATAAAAAAGTTAAACTAAGTTTGTAGCCTAGGCGATGCCCCGAGTTTTTTTTAAATATAAAATGAAAAAAAATTATCTTAAGTTTAAATAATATTTTGAAAACATTATCTTAAGTTTAAAATAAAATTTAAAAAAAGCAATAAAATATACGGGAATAGAAAAAGAGATGTAGTAGTATACATGTAAATATTACTCTGTAAAATTGTTTAACTGGTATTGAATCTAGAAATTAGCAATTTAGCATTCAAGGAATTAACAACTATTAGTATATGATTATTTCTTACAAATTAAATTGTAGTTTAATGTGCAATTAATTAGAAGTTACATTCTAGAGGAAAATTAATTACGAATGTTAGACATATGAAGAGTTTTAAAGTGATGACACATAGGATGACACGTAAGGATGACACATAACAATGATGTGGCGCCAAATCATATTGAGAGAGTGGTGACACATATCGGTAGCATGTAGTCCCTTTGTGTTTTAATAATATTATAGATTTACTACAATATATTTTGGAAACTGTCAGACTAAATACGACTACTCCCTAGTAATTACACGTAGTTAATTGTAGTTCTAGTGTTAGATTTTATTTTTATAAAATTTGAGGCCCTCTTTTTATCAAATCTGGGCTTCACAAAATTGGGTAAATTTTTTCCCTAAACTCTAGTCTAGGCATCTTCCCCTACACCCCCATATAACTACGTCGTTTTTCGTCTCCGCCATTTTTGTAAATTTTTTTTTTCTTTACTTTCCATTGAAGCAACTGTATAATGATTTCCAGACCTAATTTCCTTCATTTATCTCTCCTCTTTTTTCATCGATTTCACTTTCTCTCTCCTATATTTTTTTGAATTTTTTTCCCAATTTTTTCTCTCTTCTTCAATGGAGATTTCCGCTCAATTGCATTTGATCGTGACTGTGATTCTATTTTTCCTCCTACAGTTGGTTTACTTGACTCGTTTACGGATCAATGTGAGTAATTTGTCACTCAATCAATCGATTTTGATTATGCTTTGTTTTTTGCTTGTAATTGTTCGATTATATTTTTTGATTTCATAGTTTTTGTTGTATTAATTATAATTTATATAATGCTCTGTTTTGCTAATTGTTATTGATGATATATTTGATTCATAGTTTTGGTTGTATTGTTGTTCCATGTCAATTGTTATTTGTTATATTATTGATTGTAATGCTATTATTTGATTGTTGTATTTTTTTTTTTCCAGTTTTGTGCATTTCATATGAATATCTATAGTTTTAAAAATTTTGCTATTCAACTATTTTCATCAATTTTTTGCGTTGTGTAAAAATAATGTTATTTGAAATAATGCTCACTTATGTCATATTAAATGTTCATTTACGTTTTATATATGTTTTCTGTAGTAAACGTAAATAAACATTTATGTAATCATAAATGTTCATTTATATATATACTTGTGCTTATGGAAATATATGTTTTACACGTGACTTTAAATGATTATTACTGTTTTGTTGTTTCAAAACTAATGTTCATTTATGTAATGATAAATAATCATTAACATTTCATATGTGGTAATTGTACTGTTACTTATCAAATGCATTATTGTAATTGAACATTATTGCTACTGTATGTGTTCATTTGTTACTTTTTTTTATTATTGCAGTGGAAAAAAAGGTTGCTGTTATTTTTGAAGAAGCAACTAGTACTGATTTTTTGGGGAAACAATTTCCTTCTGAAGATGTGACTTATGAAATGTTAAATGAATACGCTTTTACGAAAGGTTTTGGAATTAGAATTGGGAAGATTAAGAGGCGAAGAGAAGATTCATTTTCTATGAAAAGATTTGTTTACACTAATGAGGGTTTTAAAGATGATAAGTGTAGGAATAATAGGTCCTATGAGAGACTTGACACGAGGAGTGGTTGCTTAGCTTTTGTGTAGTTTGCTGTTGATCATTCAGGTGTATATACATGTACAAGACATTAGATGGTCCATAATCATGAAATGATTCCTGTTGACAAGAGACATTTAATAAGGTCTCAAAGGGATTTTTCTAAGGAACAAATTAAATTCATTTCTACACTTAGATTGAATGGAGTTAAAGTTTCTGATTTTGTGAGAGCTTTGAAGAAGGAGGTTGGAGGGTCTCCTAACTTTTGTTTTACAGCTCCTAATTCAAATTTTTTGCAAAGAGATAAATTGATGAAGCACATTTCTATTACAACATTGAACAAGATGAAACTGGTGCATTGGTTAGGTTTTTTTTGGAGAGATGGAAGGATGATGAGAGATTATCATTACTTTGGTGATTTGTTAGTCTTTGATACTATGTATAGGACTAACAAATATGGTATGATTTGTGCTCCATTTGTTGGTATGAGTCATCATGCAAATAATGTGATGTTTAGCATGGGATTTGTACTTAATGAAAGAACGAAAGCATTTGAGTGGTTATTTGATACCTTTATAACTTCTATGGGAAGGAAATGTCCTATTACAATAATGACTGATCAAGGTCAAGCCATTGCTATTTCGGGGTTTTTTGATGTGTCCTGCGGGAGAGTTACAACACCGAGACTGACCTCCGGTTGCCTGTACCTGCAAAACAATGGAGACTCCCAAGGGAGTTCCGCCTCCGACGATCAAGTTAGAACGTGTATGAGGAGTATATTGTGGAATGTAAATATTTCTCTCTGATTCAGAGAGAATTCTACAATGAAGATTGCTCGGTTTTTGTGTGCATTGAATGTGTATTCAATGTATGTTTTTTTATAAATGAGGATGGTTCCTCTATTTATAGAGAAGGAGATCAATCCCCTTTTAGGGTTTTGGTGACACGTGTCAGTAGAGGGTTGGTTCCCTTTGGGCCTCTCTAAGGCCGACACGTGTTAGCAAGCTATTGGGACACATGTTGCGTTAACAGTGGTCCGTTTGTTAGGGGTATTTTACCCCCAAACATTAGCCCCTCGGAAGGAGTAGTCTCTTTTTAAAGAGGGACTGCTCCTTTCAAATACGAGACCGCTTGAGCTTCTTTGGCCGGCATCTATCTAGTTCAATTGGGGAGAAATTTTATTGACTTGGAAAATTTGATACCTTGAACGGTATGACATTTTTCGAGTTAATCAAATCATAATAATGAATGCCGCTGAACTAGACGGATGTCGACGTTTATCGCTTTTAGCCCCACTATGCTGATAGCCCCAGCCTAGGCGAACTATCGACCATCAAGTGGAGATTTGTACGCAATATTATCTGATCGTTTGCCTTTATTTGATCATTTAGGCCATTGGCCGTTGTTTGATCATTCAAGGGCATAACCGTTTGGGGTGCTTTAAGCAACGCTGGTTATGGCATGACCAAGATTTCATGTGCCGCCTGTACCATCTGGTAGTACAGGCGGCTGTATTTTTCTGTTGGGAGTACCGGCTGTATTACCTTGAGGTAAAGCCTGGGGGTACTGCTTTGTAGAAAAGACCGGTTGTACTGTTTTGCAGTGAAAACCGGTTGGATCTTGGTTACAATGGATCATTCAAACAGCCGTGAGGTATCTTTAACCTTAGCCGGTTAAAGCCGTTTGAGTTATGACCGCTAGAACAATGTACCACCCGGAAGGGAGATGTTCTCGGCGACGAATTCACCCGTATGGGCGTCGCCGGACGCTTGCTGGGGCAGACGAATTGTTTTATTTTAATAAGATCATCCGGCTATTGGCCTTCGCTTGATCATTCCGGCCATTGGCCTCAATAGGATCATCCGGCCATTGGCCTTCGCTTGATCGCTAGAACAATATACCACCCGGAAGGGAGATGTTCTCTTCGATGAGTTCCCCTGAATGGGCGTCGCCAGACGCCTGCTGGGGCAGACGGATTATTTTAGTTTAATAAGATCATCCGGCCATTGGCCTTCGCTTGATCATTCCAGCCATTGGCCTCAATAGGATCATCAGGCCATTGGCCTTCGCTTGATCGCTAGAACAATGTACCACCTGGAAGGGAGATGTTCTCTTCGACGAGTTCACCCGAATGGGCGTCACCGGACGCCTGCTGGGGCAGACAGATTGTTTTATTTTAAAAAGATCATTCGGCCATTGGCCTTCGCTTGATCATTCTGGCCATTGGCCTCAATTTGGTTGTTCTTAAAAGAAACAACACAGCTGCTAAGTTAGACTTAGCTTTTATCCACTCATGTTAAAGCGGATGGTTGATTTAAATTTTGCCGCCTGCACATTGCACAGGAGGTGGTTCTACTTTATGCCTGTTCAACATACTTTTAAACCTTTTTTGTTCGGTATGCTGCCCTTGAGGGAGGCTTGAACCAATATTAACTTTCTATGGAGAGTCTGTCAATATGCTGGAGGATATTGAGATGCCTACGGCTGAATTCATAATACCAAGCTCTTGAAATGGAAATAGGCGGCCATGGGACGACATTGAGACGCCTCCTGCCTGATTCATGAGAATGAGCTCTTCAAATGGAGACAGGCAGCTATGAGACGCCAAGCAACTGAGCTCGAGAAATGAATTTGCTCTCGGCTTATACAGACGACTTTCTATGGGGATGCCTCCTGCTAACTGGGCTACACCAGGCGGTTATTCTACCATGCTTCTTGGTTTCAGATTCAAATTCAAGAGCCGGGGGGTTGTCAACCCATATACATGTGGCAAGACTTCAAGCAACATACACACGAAAAGAGAACAAGAAATTGTTGAGGTACCCAGGCGGCACCATCTCTACCTTTTTTCTTGAAGATGCTTTAGAAATGAAAGAGGTTGGCTAGCCACATCAGCAGGCGAAAGTCAATCAATTTCTTGCTAGGTACCTAGGCGTTTCCCTGAAGCCTTGTTTGACGATACCCCAGACAGCTGACCCAGGCGGCAATGCCTTAACCCAATTTGGCTAGGCTTCAACCCATATACATACATCCGGTTTTATTGGAGTATGATCATGTCGTTGTAGAGTATGCAACCACATGCGGTTGGAATGGTGAGACACATGCGACCCTCATCCAGTTTCTCCATGGCTCAGCTTGATGAACAACACTTGTGCTGGCAACACTTATACATGAGGCAACACTTTATATAGGAGGCAAGACTTCAAACTCTACCAACGCAGAAAGGCGTCCAGCCCCACAATCGGCCATTACCCATGGTATCTCATGAGGTTGCATTGACCCATATACATAAGGCCAATTCGATTTGCTTCGAAGCGACGCTAGCTTGTGCTTACAGTCGGAGGCCGTCTCATGATAAGGCTGGATGTTTAACATACTCAGCTTTAAAGACTTATGATAATGCCATGAGGGGTCGGTTTCTCATTAATCATTGTACCCACAGCCGGTTTCCATGGTGTGGCAAGAGTATCACCCAACCGGTCAGCTCATGGCTCAGACCTCGTACATACAACCGACTTTTTTTTTTTTTTTTTTTTTTAATGATTAAAATAATCATAATAATGATGAACAACACTTTCTACAATCACAAGGCTTGTTACAATCATGAGGCTTTGCTCATGAGGATGCCTCTTGTTACAATCACAAGGCTTTGCTTAATAGCTTCGCACCATAGCCTGCTAGCATTGATCATGGCTTGACTTGCATACCGCCGGTGAGAATGCTGGTTGCATGATGAGGAACTCATTCGGACACTTCGAGGCTCATCTCACATATACACAGCCGATGCTAGCATCAACACTCACATCCGTATTGTTCATGCCGAGTGCCTCATTTGAAGTGATTGCGATGCAATATATGCACACTCAGGCGGCCTGCAAACAGAAAACGAAATAGGGGCTGGATGGCTGGCTGCTTGGCTGGCATTGATCACATTGCCGCTTGGCCAGTTGCTGTGATTGCTAGAAGCATCATATTGCTCGCACATAAAGCCGACTGCTGCCTGGTCAGGGGCTAGTTGCTCGAAATGCCGGCTGAACCTTGCGACAACCGCAAAGAGAAGTTGCAGCTGCTGTACATACAACCGACCAAATGCCGCTTGACCCTATTGAAAAGAACCTCGAGTAGTAGCAGCTCTAGCACTCCTAGCCGGGTTATACGTGCCGAGTGGGTGTTTAGAGCTGGTGCTTGGTTATAGCTAGCTTTGTTCTTTGCTTTACAACACATTCGACTTCTCGTAAGTGCCGGCTGACCGACCGCTCACTCAAGGTGCTTGAACGAATGTTTTATCATGAGGCTGGTTGCTCTATGACATCACTTATTGCATAGCGTGTGATGCCGCTTGTATTTGAATCAATAAGTTGAGGTTCTCAAGGCTTACGACTGTTTTATGGGTAGAATATGATAGTAGCGCCGTGCTCAATCACAAGCGGTCAACTAAGCAATTAATACAACCGACTGTATGGTTAGTGAACAAGGCGGTGCATAGTGAGGAACCACTGCTACCTTAAATGATGCAACATATACAACCAGCTGGTTAAAGTCGGTTGGCGCCTGGCTTGAGGTTGGGCAGCAGGGATAATACCGGTTGGGCCTATTGATAACAACATCGCAACAATCGTAAAATTCATGCAAGATAATGTAAGTGGATGTCGTTTGCATGGTTAGAGCTGACCAAGAGTGTTAAGCATAGCTAAGCTTATATGCTCCTCGCTTATTTGTTCACATGGAGCTACGCCACCTAGTTGGTCATAGTCGGCCTTCTCTACGAGAAGCACAGCCGGCTAACCCATGCGTGGCAGTGCCGGATGCATAGGTAGAGCTGGCCAGATACTTGGCTTGCTAGGAGCATCATATTGCCCAAACACTCACAGCCGGCTCTTTGAGGCTTCTCTTCTATGATAACCACAACGTGAGGAGCGTCTAACTGAAGGACAATAATGCCGGCTGCTCTTCACAATGTGAGCGGGCTTGCCCATGACCATCCGACATTCAAGAAGCACCTCATGCTAGCTTTCTCACAAAGGCTCACACAAGCACATCCGACTATAATATTGCAGCCGGATGTATCAGAAGCTCGCTGTTGCGCTGAACCTTTCTCATGCCACCAAGTGCCGCTTGTATATGCGAGGAGGTTCTTGTTGACTGCTCAATATGGCTTAACAACCGGTTTTTGGATGATGTGTCTTTCCTACATACATACGACAGTCTCCCCACAACAATCAGGCCCCATACGACATATGCGGGAATGAAGCTCGCGGCTGCTTTTATGATTGCCGCCTGACTTGTGCTCATGTACAGGGGGCTTTCATTGCAATGGTGAGTAAAGAAGACAGACGACACACAAGCATTACATGCGGGATGCCCATTCGTAGGAGCCCCAACCGGACTTCTACGCAAGTGCATACAGCCGGGGGTGTATTTACTATCTCATAATCAGCCGGTTTTAAATAGCACAACTCATGCGTGCTTATGACGCCTGGCCCTTTGCTATTAAGAGCTTAAAAACCCACTCATGGACGATATACACAGCCGGGGGTAGTGCCTAGCACCGGTTGTTTGCTTGGTGTTCTCTCATGCCGTTTGAACCTTGAGACAACCACAAAGAGAAGTTGCAGCTGCTGCACATACAACCGACCAACACCCGCCTGACTTCATTGATAAGAGCATAGCGTAGCAGCAGCTCTAGCACTCACATCTGTGCCTCTTCGTGCCGAGTGTGTTAAGTGGGGTTTTTCATGAATGGCTACCATACGCTACTCATGTAATGCGTATAAATATATACATGGTGGTTCCAACATTGTATAAATATATACATAGTGGGAGCTAGGCGGCCTGACTCTTGCAATTAAATATATATATTTTTTTAACATAATAATGATATGATAGCAGGAATAGCTTACAAGCTTGCTTGCTGACCCTTGACAGTTGGTCATATACCGCTTTTAGCACTTGACACTCGGCCTTATGACGCCTCCTGTACTAGACAGTCGGCCTCACGATGCCTGTGGTACTTGGCCGCCTAGCTGGATTCTTAGAGGCTGATACCATGCCGGCTGTAGGTGCTTGAGGTAACAAGCCCTTAGCTCTTGTATTCAACGCTCATGCGCCCATGCCGGCTGGGTTGTTTAGTAGTTGGATGCCGGATGTACCCATTGGATGTCATGCTAGTTGCATGTTGATTATCCCACATATAAACAGCCGAATGCGTGGTTAGAGCAGGTCGGCTGCTTATGATGCCGCCTGTTGCTGATATTTAAGCTTGGACATAGATTATGCCGGCTGCCCCTATTGAGTGCAGCTGCATGCTCATTTAGAAAGGGTGCCGACTGTATGGTATACTTGCAAGGGAGCCTGCGGACGATGGTATATCTAGTAGCCCCTGCTCACATGCTTGGACGGACCCATTGGACTCAGCATTGAGGTCGCCTGTATAGGCATGGGGCAAGTATGACCTCATGGCGCCTGTAGCACTAGACCTTTGGCCTCATGGTGCCTGCTGTTCTTGATAGTTGGCTTGATGACGCCTGCGTTATTCGGCGGTCTAGCGCTTTCACACCAGAAGGTTATTTCTTTGAGAACACACAAGGTTGTTCCCCAAGGCTTTTGCAGACGGAGTTGCTAGTCCAAACAGACATTTTTGCCGCCTGGCCCCTAAAAAGGGGCCGGGTGCATACATGACTGTCTACACGGCATGTATGGTTGTTGGAGCGCATACAGTGCCAAATGGATTATCTGAGGGCTAGAAGGGACGGCCAAGCCGCCTGACTACCCCCCTCGGTTTGATTGTGAATGCCTTATTGAGGTATTCTAGAAGCTGTCTGGATAGGTCGACGTTTAAGCCGGCTCAGACATTTATGATATGGAGGAGGTACTCGTCTTTGACCTCGACCGTAGGCCGCCTCCTATCAGCAGGCGGTACAGACTGCTGTGAAGCCATCTCAGTGGTACTCTCCCCACATACGGCGCCAAATGTTTCGGGGTTTTTTGATGTGTCCTGCGGGAGAGTTACAACACCGAGACTGACCTCCGGCTGCCTGTACCTGCAAAACAACGGAGACTCCCGAGGGAGATCCGCCTCCGACGATCAAGTTAGAACGTGTATAAGGAGTATATTGTGGAATGTAAATATATCTCTTTGATTCAGAGAGAATTCTGCAATGAAGATTGCTCGGTTTTTGTGTGTATTGAATGTGTATTCAATGTATGTTTTTTTTTATAAATGAGGATGGTTCTTTTATTTATAGAGAAGGAGATCAATCCGCTTCTAGGGTTTTGGTGACATGTGTTAGTAGAGGGTTGGTTCCCTTTGGGCCTCTCTAAGGCTGACACGTGTCAACAAGCTATTGGGACACATGTTGCGTTAACAGTGGTCCGTTTGTTAGGGGTATTTTACCCCCAAACAATTGCAGCTAGTATAAGAAATGTTTTCCCCCCAAGTGTTAATCATAGATTATGTGTGTGGCATATTGAACAAAATTCCAAGAAACACATTAGGGCATTGAAATTTTTGGATGGTTTCACTAATTTATTTGGTTATTTGCTGAAGTATTGTGAAACTCCAGCTGAAAAAGGTATTTCTATTATTCTTGAGTTTTTATACTTTTTACTTTGGATTATATTATTTTATGAATGTGAACATTTACTCTTGTATATATGTTCAACACGTATTATGTTTGCTTATTATTAGTTAAAAAAGTTCTTTGTATCATATATTTTCCCAAATGTGAATATTCATTTTATTGAATGTGACATAAATCCTTGTATACGTAGTATAATGTTTTATGCTTATTTAAATTGTTAAATACTTGTTTATAGAATTAAATTTAATATGAACATTTAGTGTTTTTTATATGTTCATTGTTAATGATCATTATTGATATTCTTGATGTTTATGTATGGTATACAGGATGGTGATGAAATATGATTATGAAAAGGTTGATTGGATGTGTGATTTTTATAAAATCAAAGAGATGTGGTGTCCATCTTATTCAAAGCAATATTGGTTTGGAGGTGTGCTATCATCTCAACGTATTGAGACAACTAACAAATCAGTTTCTCAAGGGCTTAACAAGACACAAGGTCTATGTGATTTCTATCAAGTGTTCCTTGATGTTGTTCATGAGTGGATAAGCAAGGAAAGTGGGAAAGATTATAATACTATCAGAGGTAATCGTCATTTGGCTTTTGCATATATTGGGATTCTTGTTCATGCTAGATTATTGTATACAATTCAAGCATATGTTGTTTTTGAAGAAGAGTTCATTAAGGGTATTGCATGTGATCATAAGGATTTTGGTTTGAATTATCCTGAATATTCTATCATTTGTGGAGACCTAGGAAAGATTTAATCAAGCATGAAGTTGTTTTTAATAAAGAAACACATGCAATATGTTGTACATGCATGTTTTTTTTCTTGAGATGGGTTTTCTTTGTTCTCATGCTCTTCGAATTTATCACATGAATTGTATTCATAAGATTCTAGATGAGTATATAGTTAAGAGGTGGACTAAGGCTGCCATGTGTAGTCATGGTCTTGATGAACCTACATTGAAGTCTAATGTTGTATCTACAAGTGTTTGGAGGGCACAAACACTAAGGAAACTTGTCAAGGTGGTAACAAGTTGTCAACACTCTTTGAATGCTAGAGCAGAGGTTAAATGTTTTTTCAATCTTTTAAAAGAAAAGATTGAGAGTGTTACAAGTCCCATTAATTTTAGTGAGCTCGTTGAAGGTATTGAAATTGTTGATCATGAAGTTAAGAATTCGCCAAAATCAAGGCCTACTGGTGAGAGGAATTATAGGCTTAAGAGAAATTTAGAGAAGGCTAAAACAAAGCCAAGGGTCAGTGGATGAAGAAAAAGACAGTATACACTCCTAATAAAAGGGCTAAAGGTTAAGCAGTTGCTCGGGTAATAATGAACATTTATGTTGTTGTGGTTGATCATTCTTGCCAAATAATTAAACATTTTTGTTTTACCTTAAGAATTGGATGAGAATGGGTGTCCTATCTCCTATGATAATTCTTTTACCGATCCCAATTAGTTAATTGTGACTAAAAATCCACCTGGTCATGTAAATGTTGATTTATTATTTTTTTATTTATTTTTGTGTTTATTAAATTTCAGTAATATTTAAAACGTTTATTTTTTTATTTTTTATTCAAGGTTGGTAATAAAAAATCAGCTGTTATAGAAGATATTCCTTCTTCTTCTAAAGTATCAGATCATAGTGTTTCAAATGACTTTGAATAGGTATTATGTAAATGATTAATTATTTATTTTCAGTTGTACATTTATGTTTGCATTATTTAACTTTGATTTTTTCTTATTTTATTAAAGGAATATGGAGAAATATGCAATCAAACATTTCTGTTGATCCAGATATATCCTCTATTGTGAAGGTGAAATATTATTCATCTACCTTTTATTTTCATATAAGTTCATTAAGTGTCTTGAATTTGATCATTTGTGTATCAGGGTAAAATTTTTGATGTTGGTCAAGGTGTTGCGATTGCTCAAGATGCTGCTACAGTTCCTACAAATGCTCAAGTTTTTGCTACTATTCCAATAAATGCTCATAATCCACCAAAGAAATCCAGAAATGTACAATTTCCCACAGTTATGCAGGTAGCTACTACTATTCAAAACAGTGCTCAAGCTCCTCCTAAAATTCCTAGAAATGTTCAAAATCCTTCAAATGTTCCAAGAAATGTTCAAGTTGCTCCTAGTGTTCCAAAAAATGTTCAAGTTGCTCTTAGTGTTTCAAGAAATGTTCAAGGTGGTTCTGCACAGATTTCAACCAAGTATGATACGTTGTTAGCTTTTTTTAATACAAACGTGGCTAAGAGATTGCTTAATAGTTAAATAAGAGAGTAAATCAGTATACAACTTATTTAATTTTACGACTATCAACATATTCAATTGTCTCAATTTTAAAGAGATTTTCAAGCTGCTTCAAGTGTTTTTATTTTGATGTAGTATATACTATGAACCTTTTGCTATTAAATACTATTCTTATTATTGAAATATTAGTTTTTATCTTTTCAATAAGTGAATAATTAAGTTTGTCAAAATGATTACACAGTATCTCAAAAAGATCATTTATTTTTGTAAATGATCATTAGTTTTAACATTGTTCTCTAAGTAAATATATAAGGTTTCAAAAGTGATCATTTATATTTGAAAATGATCAAATTTGATAAACATAGTACTTTATATAAAATTCGCAGTTTTCATGTATAATGTTAGAATAATTATGTAAAAATTTAATATCTATCAATATTAAAATCTTAAAATTTTTTAAAAACCAAGATACAATTATTCTGTTAACAAATAATGTCTATAAAATTCATCACACATGTATGATTATATATTTTTCCATACGTGAACATATTGTATTAAGCCATTGCAAATCTTCTTACTGCTCTTCTATTATTTTGAGACTGCTTATTTACTTCGTACAACATTAGTTGAGCAGTGTATTGTACCCTCAGCCTTCTGATTTGGTCTACCTGTTTAAGGAAACAAATTATCATCAACTTGAACATTAATTGTTATACAAATGAACATTATGTGTTACAAATTGAGCACCAAGTAATATTCCTTGCTTATTGAAATTTACTTACATTGTTTGCTTTTAAGTCACAAACCCATTCTTCATTTGGATCAGCAGTAAAAGTTTCCATATGTTTCATAATGTATACTCCGCAATTTGTGTAATATTCATTGCTCCTCGGCTCCTCTACTTCATTTTCCCCAAAACCACTTTATATTTCTCAATAGAATTTGCATCTTCATATCCCAATTTTTTCAAGTATTCTACAAATCCTTTTAACGGCAACATATATAACTAAATATTAAAAAATATACTCATAAATTTATTACTTTCAAGTAGAAATAGTATTAATTTTACTTACCACCTATTGTGGTTGATCAAGATACTTTGTAGCAACTGTCACATGCTGTGGAAGTTTTCTGTTGTCAATGATATGCATTTTCTCATTGATATGATCAATGCATAGAAGATAGAAATGTGTAGATATGGCCACTGGAAAAAAAATTTGTACATAACTGACAATGTTATTGTACATTTTCATTAGTGTAAATGAACATATGGTAAATCCATTTTGTTTATTAATACCTGATGATATCCAACAACGCTTTTGATATAACTTCAATTTATTTTCAATTCTTTCTCTGAAGTATTGAAGTCTAAGCTCCATTGTTGATCCTTCAGGAAAAATGGTGTTTGCACACATAATTTGCTGCATTTGTGTATGAATATAAATGAATTCAATATAAATCATCTAGTATAATGCAAATGACCATTTTAAGATCAATTAAACAAGATACTCAAAATATAAATGTACATATGTTGCATTATAATAAAAAACTTACATGTGGAAATGATGAGAAGTAGATCTTGTTCTTTGACCTTTTTTTATCAAGTATTGTGGCCCATGAATCAATTACACAATTAACTACTAGTGTATCTCCTTATTGAGTTTTCATCTCTGCCCTATTGTTCAGATTCAATCCATCGTAATATAGTAGTTCACTACAAAATTTTCATGTTTAAAATTATATTATTTTACAACGAACATAATGTTATAATTTAAAATATTAATTAGTTTATGGAAAATTTGCCATGAGTAATACCACCTTATGCGGTCTTCCCAGAATAAAACAAATTATTTCAAAATGGAACGACCTTTGACACACATTTGCTATAAATGGAATGTGACTTGCTAGTAACCTGTTTAATAGGTTACATGTGACACGTGTCACAATATCATTGGTCAATTTATTTTTATTATTTTTTTTAAAAAAAAATGAAAAAAAATCTTAAAATTAAATTAAAAAAACTAACCCCCCTTTCCCTTCCATTTCATCGGTTTCCATTAGCCCCAACCCTGTTCCGACCCCCCTTCCCCTTCCCATCCCTGTTTCTATTCCCCCTCCTCTTCCCGTCCCCATTCCCGGCGCCACATCCCCTTCCTTTCCCCATTTCCGGCCCTATCTCCTTTCCGAAAACAACCCCGCAACCCTTCCCCAAAAATGACATCAAAACCATTAACCTTAACTTTTGCCTTTCTTGGATTGATATCCGTTAATATCGAACCTTTAAGAATTCGATAAGGATCTTTTCCCTAACCTCGGCAGAGAGATATTGCGCCTCCTTTAATTTAGTCTCCAAAAAGACTCGGATTGTGACTCTAATAACCAAATATCCTTCGTACTTTTCGATCAAATCAATTATTCGTTCATTTAAAAGAGCATATATCTCACTCTTTGGAATTCACTTTCCATCGGGACCTCAATACTTTTTAGTACCTAAAGATTTTTTACATCTTAGGGTATACTTTAGTGATAGAGGTAGGTCAGCTTGGTTCTTTACGTCGAACCTGAGATCCAACGCTTTGGCCTAATGTGGAAGCTTTACACTAGGGCACGTAAGGCACAACAGCTTCCTCTCGCGCTCGCGACGAGTCGAGAAGAAGGTTTGAAGGAGGCCAATTAGTGAGCCGGGAAAGCATTAGCAATCGAAGCGCTTTCAAGAGAGAGCTATTAGACACACTTTTTGGCCGGTGAGATTCTATCTTTCCAAGAGTACTACCTTGTACGTAGTCTATGTTTGGAAAGCATACTTGACAGGAGATAGACGCCGGCGGTAGAGGGGTCCCCCACGCATTTGTCTTCTCACCAATCATATAGTGCTTCTTGTCTTTTTTATAGAAAAAATCATACTTCTTATCTCAGTAGGGCATTTAATGGTGATTTATAGATTCATATTCATATTAAAGATATGCTCGAATCGATGGTTACTACCCTCACTATCTCCATCGATATATAGTCTCATTATCACTTCATTAAGATTATTATCTGTATTAATGGACATCAAATCTTTAGAATTCTTATCTATATTTAGAAGATCCCATCGATTAATCGTATTGTCTATATTAGTGTGATAAATTATAAGAAAAGAATTAGCTCTTCGAGAATGCGCGGAGCTTAAATAAAGAAAGAAAATCTTACTTTTTTGTGGTTTACGAGATCAGAGGAACAGGTTGGAGCCATTATTTTGTGTCAACCTCCATTAGAACAAAAGGGAGAAAAAACTACTATACTATCTTTTTGCCCCATCGCGTAAGTAATTGGGCTTATAAATAAAGTCATATTATATTGCCACAAAACCACCTTATCGAAACCCATTTCCCCGAAACCCTAACCTATTGGGAAAGGATGGAGGTTGCGCAAATTGAGGATGAGGTAGGAGTTGGGCCGTAATTAAGGATGAGGAAGGGAGGAGGGCCGAAATCGCGGAAAGGGAGGGAAAGGGGTGTCGAAATCACGAACGGGAAATGAAGGGGTGGCCGAAAACGGAAATGGGAAAGGGATGGGGGGTCGGAAACAAGGATGGGAAGGGGAGGGGGAACCGAAAACGGGGACGGGAAGGGGAATGGGGCTGAAAACAGGGATAAGATCTGGGGAATGGGGTTTCCGGTGAGGAGTCTGGTGGAGGGGGCAGGTGTTTTCTGGTGAAAGGGGGAGGGGCTGGGTAAAGGGATTTTTTTTTTAATATTTTATATTTTAATTTTTAATTCTTTTTAATTTTTTTTTAAATTAAAACCATTAATATTTAAAAAATGTTAAAATGTTAAAAATACAATATTTAACAAATGATAACACAACACGTGGAAAATGTAACCTTTAAAGCAAGTTACCGGTTTTTTGTTCCATTTATGGCGGATATGTGTCAAAGGTCGTTCCATTTTGAAATAACCTAAAGGTCGTTCCATTTTTGGAAAACCGTTGAAAGGTGGTGTTATTCTTGGCACATTTTCCTTAGTTTATACTATAAGTAAATGATGTTTACCTTTGATCTTTTCCACTAAAAGCAAAGTCAGTTACAAGTTTGTTCATTGTTACTTCATCTTTGAACAAATTTTTGTACTTGACCATGTACGTAGATCGAAAAGCAAGAGGAATAGTTGGGGTTTCCCTCTATGGTCTTTTGTATTCATGGGACATAGTTCAGAGTTAATTTGAACATTTATTTATACAAATATGATCATTTATATATAATGAACAAATATTAGTAAATAAAAAATTATACCTTTTCTCTTTTTCCTTTTCAGGCTGTTTAGCATTCTCAATTTTATTTTTCTCAGCTTTGTTTGAGATTTTGCTTTCCAAAGTATTTTCTGAGTCACTGAATAAATTGTGAATTATGAATGATCATTTAGTTTAATGATAATGAACATTAGGCATTTATATATATGAAATGAACATTTACCTTTTCTTTGTTGGCTGTTTGACAATCTGAATCTTCTCTACCTCAACTTTTTTTGAGTTATTGTTTTTCTCTTCCAAATTCTTCTTTGTCTCACTGAACATAACATATATTATGAATGATTATTTAGTTTAATGATAAAAAACAATATGTATATATGGAATGACCATTTACCTTTTTTTGAGATTTGAAGAGTATAAATCTTTCCTCTGGGGTTCACCGAAATATTAATCAAGGTTAGTAATAAAGAGTAATAAAAATAAAATTAACATCATTCTTTTTCAAAAGAACATCGTGAAACATGAACACCTTAAAATAATAATAACACATTTAGATTAAAATGCATAAAGTACATAACTTTAATTGTTTTAAACCAAAATAAACATCTTCTGATTATATACTACATGTCCATTACTAATTTATAATTTCATAACCATAAACTGTTTCCAACCAAAATAACTTAAAATATTCAATTACTTTATAATACATATCGATTACTACAACATAGATCTTTAAGTATTTTGTTTTTACCCCTGTCCATGCTCCTTGTCTTTGTCATTGAGTACATCTTTAATTCTTGGGCATGGTTGTGGGGATAAAATTTTGGTAAGCAATTCTTCATTTTTTTCTCCAGTTAGATCCTCTTCTTGCTCAGTTGGTGTATTTGGTTGATCATTTTCTGCTTCATCATCTTTTTTTTATTCAATTAATGAAAAAAAAACCCTTGTTGTCAAAATATGTAAATGAATATGATAAAATTTTATAAATGAACATAAAAGGTTTTATAATTGAGCATTATACCAATAGTCTTTGGAGGTTCTGTTTGAATTGATTCCACAACTTTTTCTGAAATTATTTTATAAATGAACATTATACTTTTCATAAATGTACATATATATGTTATTGAGAATTATTACTTAATTTTTTCAGGCTTGAAAGGAATACTTGCATCAGTTGTTGTTGAAGTTGTGGCTACAAGATTAATTTGTGCTTCTGTGTTCAAAGAAATTCAAAATTAATATAAGTTTTAATGCAATATTTATGTACACAAGTTTTAAATATGCATGTTTACCATTGGTTGGAGATGGGGGAGTTAAGTTGCAGCCCAAATTGAAAGCTTTCTTTATATCATATTCCTTCTCCTTTCCTTTTTCCCTTTTTTCTCTCTCGCTTGCCTCTAATAGTTCCCTCTCAGCTTGTGCAATGGCATTCAAGAAATCTTCTAAACTATATATTTCTTCATCTTGGTTGAAAAAATTGTTCTCGTGCCATCTTTCCTAACACTTCATCTACCTTCTTCACCAAATCATTATCAAGGAAGATTTCTTTTGCTTTAACCAATTTTGAAGAAAGTTTTGACAAAGACCCACCAACTTCATTAACCAATGTTACAAAATCATTCATAAAGACCTATCATATACAGAACATATAAAAAACCATATGAGACATTTTATTATTTAATATTGAACATTTCATTATATATGAATGAACATTTATGAACCTCAGCATTGTCTTCAGGTTTTTCTTCTATTCTTGGAAGGACTTTACCATATCCAAACTTCAACTCGTTTTCTGTTTTTATCCTTTCAAGTGCCATATCTTTTATCTAACAAGAAATGATTGGAATTGTTCTTGGTTGTTTTTTGTTCAACCTTTGAACTCTGTCAAAGTAGAACAACTGCAACAAAGCCATTGTTGATGAGCATTTATTATAATGCAAATGAACATTTGATATAGTAGATGATAAATATTTGACAAAATAAATATTTAATATTTAGTTAATGAACATTTCTTGTTATGCAAATGAACATTTAATAAAGTAGCATTGTTCGTAATGAACTTACCATCAGAAATTGCAGTGGTCCATTGTAAAATCCTTTGCTTCCATGCTTTCTCCATGTAACATGAGAGCTCATGAGAGAGTCATAAACATACTGACACCAATTCAAGTTTCTTAACTTTTCTTTGTCCATCATTGAATACGGAAACTTGCAATAGCATTGGTTTTTTGAAATACACTTCATCAGAGAATTCACCACAACTACCAGAAAGTTAGTGATAAAATCTACTTCTGTTGGCCTGTGGTTTTTAAATCTAGCACTTGTTTATTGGAAAATAATTTAGTTTACAGAAGGTGTTTTCCCTTGCCATGTTTGTCTCCACTTTTTCATGAAAAACCATAATCGTCACTAGCTCTGTTAGATTTTGCTTCAATTATAATAATATCTCCCATTGGCAAACCATAAACAATCCTAACATCAGTCACCTCAATCTCAATTTTTTTTTTGGCTTTAAACGCGGGATTTTTTTTTATTATCAACACTATTGGCACCGGTTTTAAGCAAGAACCGGTGAGTATAACCCCCATTTAGGCACCGGTTTTTGCCTAAAACCGGTGCCAATAGTCTCAAAAAAATTTTAAAAAACTTTTGGCACCGGTTCTGGACAAAACCGGTGCCAAAAATACCCCAAAAAAAAAAAAAAAAAAATTGCGTTTTTTTCACTTAAATTGATATATAAACATTAACATATATATAGAGTTACATTTTTTCATTTTTTCTGTTAACTTTCAAAACAAAATAGGAAAACAACAGCTTGAATTAAGAAATACTCCAACAACAGCTAGCAAACGTTCAATGAGCTGAGCTTGCTTTTGCCTCCTTACGGTTTCCCTCAACAATACTCTGAAACTCTTTCTCACTTGCAGCAACTAGACTCTTGACAGTATCAAAGGCGGTCAGCCGAATACTGCAACCAGAAAATGTTTGTCAGATCTATCTTTGAATGAACCACATTGATTTATGCATTTCACATCGAAAGTTTCAAGCATCTTCTTTCTGCCTATTGTTCAAATGGTCACATTGAAGGAGTAGACAAGAATCGAGCATGCTCAGATGCTCTACATACTTCACATGTTCACAAAGATACCAGGATGATCAAAGTGCATATTAATCTCACTCGTCTATACTATGCAAAAGGTTTGTAGAGTAAGTGTATTAAGAAATTAAATATTCACCCAAAAAATAGGCTTTTGTATACATGCACCACACAAAAATAAGTTACAAATTTCAAAATGTGGAGATCTTCACAGAATGAATAATTTTTAACAGGCATATACTTCCAATGAAAAGAAATTATTTGTAAGAACCTATTGGTTATCACACAACCAGGCCAAATTTAGCCCTCGAATTTGACAAGCTAGACATCCACAGACCACAGCTCCACACCTAACTACACTATTATGAAGAACAAACAAGAAAGGAGGCAAAGAATTATTTATAAGGCTAGCAAACTAACCTTTACTGAATTACCAACAAGATTTGTTATTATCTGCCGGAATCGCCCAGGGTCTCCAACCAGAATCTCAGGTACCTTATTGGATACATATATAGCCAACTGCCAACAATGAATAAGGAAATAAAAATTAGGACTCAATTACACTCACAAATTTGGATAAAAAATTAACTTCTACATGATTAAGTAATTGATCATACTTCAATTTCTTTTTCCCGAGACTTTCCCGAGAATAGAGAAACAACATTGTCTAGGATATTACGCAAATCAAAGGGCACTGCCTCAAGCTCAAGCCGGCCTGATTCTATCTTGGCCTGATCAAGAACCTCATTAATAATGGAAATGAGATCCTTTCCGCTGGCATGAGCTGTCTGGGCATAATCAAGTTGATCAGCATCCAGATCAGTATCCATCAACATTTGCAGCATACCTAAAACAAAGGCCAAAATTCAGATCCAACATAGATAGCAAAAACTAATCAAATACAGAATATACTCTATGTCAAATTCCTTCTTACCTAAAACACCGTTCATGGGCGTTCTAATTTCATGGGACACAGTAGCAAGGAACTGCACAAAGACAATAAGCTCAGATAGATTCAATTCTGATAAATGAAAGGTTTCAGGAAAGAAAAGCTTGAGCCAAGTGTGAAAAATGGAAACGATAAGCTTCCAAACGCTTCCAACATATATACGATGAACTGAATTGGAAAAAAGTTGATTACAGATATGTATCCATACATAATTTAAGAGAGAGTCATATTAATTACAGATAAATTTCCATACATAATCAAAAGGAGACTCAGGATAGATTCCTCAAAAAATATATTTAACTCCAGCAAAGTTGCTCGTCACAAATAGATTTAGAACAGGAATTTCTAACTTGACTCTCATTAAATTACATTTACAGATTTCACAATACACACTAGACTGCCAGGAATGACATTAATAGAGATAGAAATTCATCAAACATGTTACCTTATAAACAAAGAACCCTCAATAATTGAAGAACATACCTTTCCAGACATCCTGTCTATAGAGACAATATGAGCTACTGTTCTTTGACAGAATATAATAGGTGCATATTCATCTTGAATGGGTGCAGGATCCATCTTTGCAGGATCAAAATCTTGTACAAGAGTCTGATCCCCGTGCTCCATCTTCTTTATATTCCATCCCTGACGCTTTTCAAATTTCTCCCTCTCAGAGTGAGTAACTTTCAATGCATAGGCAACACCACTGGTGAGTGGCCTCTCAAAAGCAGTTCTGTCAGTATATTCTTCAAATGTTTTCTGCAGAACCAACAGCATAAAAAAGATACCTACTTAGCAATCATCTCCAGAAGGAAAAAGGCTCTTGCAACAAAAGGAAAAAGATGCCTAGAAAAAGAAATCAGTTTAACAGCAGGTGTAAAATGAAACTCACAAACATTTGTATTGTATTCTGGTTGGATTACACTAGTAAATAAAAATAATTAAGCTGTTATAAATTTATTGTTGTCATAAAGTTTTATCATATTATTGCTAAATATATTCTAGCTGTGCAAAGTTCAGACTGTTACCATCAGCAGGCTCTGTTGACAATAGATTTGCAATATGTGACGCCGAGGCATCCAATCCCTCAAGATCGTCTTGGCTATCCTCTGAAATCTCCGTTACATCAAACCCTATTATACAGAGAAGGAACTTAGATAAGCTTTCCTCACAAAAGAAAAATACTAAAAAAACAAAAGCAAATAATAAGTAATATAGGCAAATCATAAAATGAATTTAATATAATTTTCAAACACATTTAGAAGATTAGCCTCAAGGAAGTAGCAAATAACAGCAGAATTTACTTCGTTTTCAATATCTTCAACCTCAACTTTAGCTAAATTATCGTATCCTGTGTTCTCAGATATTTTATGCAAATTGACATCTAAATTTTATAGAAAAATTGTATAAACCATTTTAACAAGAACAATAATCAAGTCCTTTACTTTCTTACCTCGGCATGAGTAACAATCGCTCCACAAACAACATATTCACATTTTAAGACCTGGCAGGATCAATTCATCACCTATTATTTTTACAATATAACTTTGAGCAGCAATTCTGTATAGAGCAATAATACAGCTAGGATGGGAAAATGAGCAAAGTGCAATTAAGGGGAATGAATTTATGAAAGCAAAAGAAAAGGTAATACTTTGTTGAAGTCCAAAATTTTCAACAGGGTACAAAATGCATATAGGCTAAATTCATTTATTTTACACACATTTTATCATCCTATTCTTTCCATAGTTGTAGTCTTGTAGAGAGAGTACATAACAGAAAATTCAGGAAGGATATTAAAAAAGTGAAGTTGTATCATGAGTTTTCAGTGAAAGACAGAAAGAGCCAACTGGTCTAAATACTTACAAGCTTCTCCATTCAATCGAAAGGCAGCTTTGGGCATTAACAATCAATCACCACAACTACAAATTCACAAAATAATGAAGAGCAAGTTATAGTGATTACCAAATTTTACAACCAAAAGACCTTGAGCAAATATAGATTACCATAAAATAATTAAAGGCAAATGAAAAAATTCTATCAAAGTCAGTAGGCACCATTAATTACTTGTATGAGTACCTGTTGAAGGTGTCCAATCAACAAGATCATAGTATAGCTTCATAATTTGACAATGCAAGCCACACCCTGATACTTTTATCTTTTTAAGTAACATAGCTCGATTTTGTTTTCTCAGGCACATCATCTTTTGTCTTCTTTTCAGGCACATGTTGTTTTGTTTTCTTCCTTTTGCCCAGTTTTTGAAGTATTTCCTTAGTTGATGCTTTATAGTTTTTCCCGTGAATATAAGCTGAAAATATATGATCATTAATAATGTGTAAGTGTTATATGAACAAAAACATTTAATTACTTATATTTGTTCATACTTTTTTAATATGTATGAATGTGTGTCTTGAGTTGCAGGTACATCCTTTACTGCAGTTTCATCCTCTACTGCAGGATTCTCTGCTGTAGGTACATCCTCTGTTGGTAGTACATCCTCTGCTGGTGGTACTTGATCTTCATTTCTTGCTCATACATCCTGTTCTGGTGGTACATCCTCAGTTGATGCTTTTTCGAGAATCAGTTAAATGCAAATGATTAAAATTTTTTATCAACTAATATGAAAATGAACATTATAGGATTTAGATACCCTGTATTTATTGATTCAGGTACATCCTTTCCTGGTTGTAGTTGATCATTGTTTCTTGGCTCTTCAGTTGATTTTTTTTCTGAAAATTATTTGAATGCAAATCAATAATATGTTTATCAACTAATAAGAAAATGAACAATAAATACATTGAAACTGAACATTGTAAAAGTCATATACCCTGGATTTACTGATTTATCATAAGCTTTTGAAATTTCCTTCTCTTGTTCACTAAATTTTTTTTAAATGTCAATATATAAAAGAAGGATTATTAAACAATATAAAAAAAAAAAACAATTATTAAATTTTTATGAAGTATTTATACCTCATTGTTTGATTTGTCTCTGGCCTTGATCTTGACATTATAAATTTCACTTTCAACCTTTTTGGTTCACTAAAATTTTAAAAATTATTTCAATTATGAGATTATGTATTAAACTAAAGAACTGTACATTAAAGATTACAAATATGAGTATTTGTAAGTATATCAACTTACTTGGGTTGTAACTTGTCTTCTAATAAATATGGTTCCCACTTTTTTATAACCGCATTTCTATCTAATTTGTTGTCTATAATAGATGATATTCTTCTCTCATGAATTATAGGTAAGGATTTCCATCCTCAAATTGCATCAAGTGTATCACATTAAATGGTACATCACTATAACGTAAATTGATGTTGTAAATTACAAAAATTGACATGATTTTTGTACATTTCATGAATGTACAAAATTGTATTTAGAAATGAACATTATAATTGCAACAATGAACATAATAGTAATCGTAAATAAACATTCATGAATTACATGCTATACACTTGAAATAATCAAATCAGATGTTTTTAATACACATACACATATATGGACTATATAATTTACATTTTACACTAAACATTTGAACATATGTATACACATATATGAACACATAAAACATATACTTGGATATACATGGACATCAGTTCATAGTATGAATTTGAACATATAGTGTTTTGTAAGTGTTCATTATATTTAACAGTTCTAGACATTACATCTTCTCCACTTGTCGTTTATATATATATATATATTATATATATATATATTTATATATATATATATATTTTTGCTCATTATACTTAAAATTATACTTACATTTCTGCAGAATTTTATATTATCGTCTCAAAGATAGTTCCTTCCGCTCTGAAAATCAAATTGAAAGCAGTAACTTGTTTAAATATGACCAAACTTAAATAAAATTATGCTTACACTTTGAAATATAACAATAATTACTAATAATACTTACGTTGATGCTTCTTCAACGCCGGATTTTTCAATTTCTTTCCTAAAACACCAACGCAAAAAACAAATTACCAAAAAAATTAGGGTTTCTACTTTTATTTTTACTCTAAACATGAAAATTATACATTTCAGATTTTTGTTTAGTATTTGTTGAAATTTGTTACGATTGAGAAATTTCGTCTCTAATGTCGGACATTTTCATTGATTTTAGTTATTATTTGCTGTAGTATTGCATCGAAAATGAGAGATAAGATGAGAGAGAAAATGGAGAGAGAAGATGAGAGAGAAAATGTTGATTAGAAATTCAGAATGTAAATGATTATTTCAATTTATATATATATGTGTGTGTGTGTTTGTGTGTGTGTGTGTGTGTGTGTGTGTGTGGGTGTAGGAATAGATGCCTAAGTAGTGGGTGGGTATTGAAACACAACGTTTCATGGGGGGTGTAGGAATATATGCCTAAACTAGTGTCTAGCCATAAATAATTACACCTGCCTTGCCCTTGCTACAGGCTTGTCTCCAATACATTTTAATGAATTAGTGATAGAATGAAATGTAAACGAAAGTAAAACTCAGCAACACATGTCACATAAAATCTGACAATAACCAAATTAGATGAGCTCACCAGCTCTATAAATTGCAGACCCAATCTCGTAGCCTCTACATCGGCAGATCGGACAAGCTCAATGAAACCAGGAAGACATCCTCGCTAACTAATGAAACCAAGTGCTCCACGATTAAACTCGGTTTACCTAAACCTTCTATTGGGGCCACACATGTATTACTAAGGACATAAGCTACCTTTTCCCTTACATCAAATGGTGTAGTTGAAAGAAGACGCAATTGTAGGGTTTCGTAGAGACCCACTCTATGCGGAAAGAAACCCCCCAAGACCCGCCCCAATAACTAAAGCAATTAAAGCATGCAAAACATAATTAATACATAATTAAGAGAAAAAGGGATAAAGAATTATACCCTAGACGCGTGCTTCGCTCGCTAAGAGTGCTCTTACGTCAACCTCGCAAATGCAAGGTCTCTGACGGCTCGTACCCTCCAACCCGACCCGATCTTCCTAAGTCCCGAAGGTTAGTCGGGACCCGAAAAAAATATAAACTTTGGAGTTTTACGAACTTAAGGTATTCTCAACAATGGAGATGCCTATATAGTTCCACTCAAGTGTGTATTCTCAAAATCCCAACCAAGTGGGTATTTATAGAGAATGGGGACTTGAATCCCATTTCATGATCATGTGGGATCATGTGCAATTGTGATAATTCATTTAATTCTAAATTAAATAATTAATCAAAAGCAATCACCATGCAACAAGTGTCAAGGGGAGAGAGAGAGAGTTAGGTGAGGACCATGTCCATGGGGGGGACATTGCCTTGCTCCCTAAGGCATGCTCCAAGCATTGGTCCCCACCTCTCACAAACCGACACCAAGCAAGGCAGCTGGGCTGGCTGCCAGCTAGCACGCCAGCACACCAGCCAGCTAGCCCCAGGATGCACTGCCAGCACGCACTGGCCCTAGCATGCTGCTGGGCTGCTGGGTGCTGGGCGCTGCTACCTAGCCAACGCACACGCACAACCTTGCTAGCTGGTGCGTAGTGCTGCTGCCTAGCCCTTCTTGCACACACACTCGCATAGCCAGCATGCGTGCTACTAGCGAGCCACGCATGCTGGACATTGCCTCGCCAACCACACGCACAAGCACACACTTGCTTGGTGTTGTGCTAGCGATGCACTCGCACATGGCGATGCTGCCTAGTGTTGTGCCATGTGCTGCGATGGTGCGATAGCCCTAGGCATACACACACGCACACACACGCAAGTGCCTAGCACTGCGATGGTGTTGTAATGTGCGAAGGGCTGCGATAGCACCTAGGCACGCAAGCACGCAAGCACGCATGCTGCGGTGATGCTGTGCCATGCGAACGCACACACGCAAGCATGCTGTTGCGATGAGCTGCCTTGTGCGCCTAGCACTCATGGAGCGCCTAGCACACACATGGTGCACCTAGGCTTGCGATGAAATAGCCTAGCCTAGCACTCACATGTCTATGCCAATGTGATGCTACGCCTATGCTCGTACTTGTTGCTTGTGATTTTGCGACGCTCGGTTTCGACGCCCTAGGCTCGATATCCGACGTCTGTGTTTGTAAAACTCCGACGACTTATCGAATCCTTCGGATTGATTCGTCGTCTCGGATCGGTTGTTCGATTGGGTTCGACTCGAAGGGTTCAGTTAAGATTAAGCTGTAATATTAATTGTACCTTAATATTACTAATCGGAAGCGGCCTCCACCTAGGCATTCTGATCACTTGACCTTACCGAAGAATTAGCTCTGTAATAATTCTGAACCCTATATCAGAATAATACACTTGTTGGAAGGACACCATTCCTTTCAGCAATAGCACTGGTACTGCCTCGCTGTTATAAACTAAATTTTTTTGTTCAATGGAACCTGTAGCGATATTAGAGAACAACCATGCTGTTTCCTACAAGAATACAAAACTTGATTATAATCACTTCTGTGATTAAATCAATTTTTGTTAAAGTCAATCTTAATATATTATATCCAACTGTTTCTTACAACTACTCA